GTTGTGATCGTACGTAACTCATTCATGTTGGTATACACTCTTGCCACAACATGGCATGAGCTTCTTCGCCCTTATTACGATCCTACACCCCCATAAAATAACTGAAATAAATCATCCTTCTAAAATCTGGCACGTATACACAGGGTTTCTTGAACTCGGTAATGTACGTTCGGGTTACATAAAATGAAAAAATTCTTATCAAATTGTCAACGAGGACATCTCATCAAGTTAGAAAAAAGTCACATCCCAGTCAGTCGATGTAATGACATATTCACGCGGAATGCACGAACACTATAGTTCCTAAAAAGAGGAGAAGTGATGCAGAAAAGCACTACAATTTTTATTTGCCTTTCATAGCAGCGCCATATCAACTACTTTTAACGTACCATAACGCATAGTTGCGACAGACATGCGCGAGTTACAAGTGTTAGACTGGCTGTCGATCTGTATGAGTAGACCAGGCTAATGAACCTTCTAAGACACGCGCGCCAACATTAAAGAATGGAAGTTCCTGTATATTTATTTATTTTCTGATACAAAGTATGTTTACCTCACTCTTTTAACATACCTATAATACCAGTTTGAACAAAGGTTTCGTGTAGATGTTATTTGCGTATTATAATTTCTACTGTAACTTGGTTACATTTTTTTTAGTAGATCTGTGAAGAAGAAATGTTTCTCTGTTACTAGCTCGACCCTTTCTTTAATGACGCATTTTTAACTTCACGCCTTACGTGATTTATAAATAAAGATGATTATAAATAATTAAGTAAGAAGCTTAAAGAAACTGCTGTGGCTATGTTTAATATACAGTCCAATGATTTAAGTTCAGCATGAGGTATGACTTCTGGATATATTAACTTTTGTTGTGATAGTGGCAGCACTAGTAACTCCGACTTGCTGTTGTAAACAACGAAGACACCGTGTCAAATAGGTGCCAACTCAGGAGTTGTGACTTTTGTATTTCCCCATCCTTTCCATGTGTGAATAGAAAGTGGGGAATTTTTCGACCGACAGAACTACTCTTGGTCTTTAAAGGACTCTGCCCTAAGGAATTTGTATTTCCCCATCCTTTCCATGTGTGAAGAGAAAATGGGGAATTTTTCGACCGACAAAACTACTCTTGGTCTCTAAAGGACTCTGCCCTAAGGAATTTGGCTACTACAAATTTTTATGCATTATTGGTGTTAATTTTTCAGTTAGAGCAGATCATTATTGTTGCAATGTGATGGGCATTTTAAATGTAAAATGGCTTGAGTTAGTTAAATAACACAGCATTAAATTATTTCAGTCGAATTACAGGAAACAATGGAATTATTCTTTTGTGACAAGTAGAGCCACCACCTTTCACTATTCGGTATTGTAGTATTAATGACATAGTTTGAGTTGAATTTCACGTCAAATATGGCAAAGGATCGATATGGAAGGAAATTAAAATCGCGTGTCAATTCATCACACATCCCAAACCCATTCACGACCAACGAAGAAATTCTCCCCCTTCTGTGAAATCCGAAGGTTTAGGGTGTGTGTGTGTGTTAGAGAGAGAGAGAGAGATGATAAGTTTTTGAAAAGAAGCCCAAAACTCTAATCCTTACAGTGTTGGTACCATCATTATTGACCAGTTAATATACTATAAATATAAAGTCAGGACCCTGTGGAACTATGCTGTCTTTTCAACTATCAGTAACTGATAAACAAGTGAAAGTGTAGATTTTAGAAATTCTTCATCTTCTTCAGTAGTATTAATGTACACCAATAGAACATTTAATTACTGTGCTTTTTTCTTAATTAGATGACATCATAGGTATCTTGAACTGACAGGAGAATTCAAATTCCATGATATAAAGACCTCTGTAGAAATTCTATACCCCAATACGGATTTTTTACTATCGAGATAGACAAAATTTATTTATCTTTGCATGTTTTTTTAAATATTTGCCATATTTAAATATGCCACGTAGGTCTTGCTAGATTCTGGGACTATGAACACTTTCTATGAAATCGATGATCTTCATGTGAGGTCGCGTGAAGTAGAGATTATATTTGACCTGCAAGAACAGAAACTCATGTTTCGGACGATGTGTAATATAGAAATCTCTCCCTGTGCTAAATTTAAATCCATCCTTTCAGTATTTTGACGGAGTAATCGTATAGACGGCTGGACGAAGACGACCTCCCCTATACGCGTTCATTTTGTGCGCGTTGAACAAAGGACGCGGATCAGATTAACTGTCAGGTTTAATAAAGCATTTGTGCAATGATAGGATCTTCAAAGCACACAGAGTAGCTATAACAGTGTGTTCCATGTAAACGCAAACTTGACTGCTGCTTTGCAAATAAAACTGCGAAAACTCTTACGATATTGACTCTCTGGACATTCTCAGTTGCAGCTGGTGCTTTTCTTGAAATCAGCTCGGCTGTAATGTCAGATGTTTTGTCTCTCGATGAGTATTTTTCACAGACATAACATTTTTTGTGTTCGGAAATATTTTTACCAATTTGTGTATTGTTGACTTATTCGGTACACATTGCTAAATGCATCAGACGATTTGAGTGCTATGTAATGTTCGAGAAAGAACACGTTCTTTTCGTGAATACACCATGTTCGCACCTGCGTGAGCAGTGGGCCATCAACGAGTGGTCTTGAAATGTGGGAGGCTGAGAGAGTCTTGTCAAGTGTGAATGGACCTGACTCTGAGTTCATTCTTGCATATAAGTAACAACACAAAAATTAAAGATGTAAAGAAACATAAAATCTTCAGCAAATAGCTTTTAATTAAATTATAGAATATGTTTCGCAAGTACTTGGATTATGACAGTACTTTTCTGTTGTTTATGACATGAATAAAACTAATAGTGCTCGCATTACTACTGCGAGGAAATTCGACAAATGTTTAAATCTCTTATCAATTGTTATTGACCGAAAATAATTATGGTTTTGATCATACATACATGTTGTTGCATATCATCGACAAAATTATTATCGACATCAGACGAAACGCTTTCACCGAAACTCAAAGCCAGGACAGATTTTTGTGCGTAGTTCACGAGCTGGCACGCCACGGTGGTTAGAACGCTGACCTTGTAATCCTGGGGTCTCGGTTTCGATTCCCGGCGGTACCCGATTTTATAACTTGTGTTGGGCAAGGCCGTGGTCTAGGCAACACGGAGTTTTCCTCCGTGGCATCCCAACAATTACTCCATTCACACACAGAAGAACGCTGGCCTTGTAATCCTGGTGTCTCGGGTTCGATTCCCGGCGGTGCCCGGATTTATAACTTGTGTTGGGCGAGGCCGTGGTCTAGGCAACACGGAGTTTTCCTCCGGGGGCTTCCCCGGTTTCTCCATTCACACACAGAAGAAGGCAATGGCAAACCACTTCTGGATCATCTGCCAAGAACGTATATGAACAGGTCCCAGTCCGAGAAAAGGATGGAAGGATCTTGTTCATATGGACCGGTCGTCAGACAGAACACTAAATAATAGTTCACGAGCTACAGAAATAATCTTAACCAGAAATCGAACCCAGCACGGTTCTTTGGCACGTTGACTTCTGTTTCTGTAATTTCCTCTTAATCAAACAAGTGTGGTCTTTGTGCTGGTTTTCTGTTTTGCGTAGTTTATGAGCTTCACCATGCCTCGAACTCAAGAAACTTTTCCGAAGTTGTGATACCAATACCGTCCTTTTACGGTCTCAAGAAATAGACATTCCAAGTTTGGTGAAAATTTATTTATTCCTTCTAGAGCTATAAGCGAAAATAAAAACATATAAGCACACAAGCCCGCAATTTCGTCTCTGTAAGATAGTACTGTATTGATCACAGGAAAGCATTACACAAAAAAACAAATTTTAAACTGGCCGCTACACGCCACGTAGGCGTTTGTGGGGAGATGTGGTATAGCTCTTACTCAACCTTGGCACTAGATAGGGGTGAATGGTCAGTATCACGCTTGGCCGCGATTTACGTCCTGTAAAGGACCCCGGTACCCAATGGACAGGAAGCTCGGTGGGACCCAGAACCGGTCTGGATGCAGAGACCAGAGGAAATATCCACTGCCCCCGTCGGGGATCCAACACTGAAGAGTTTTAAAACTTCAGTGAAGAGGGGCTAAAGCAATATATGTATTTGTAGGAGTTTCGTTGTCCTGAGGGAATGTTCGTGGTATTACTCAGTCACTCGATGCAAATACTGGGACAGTATCTTTTAAAAGTGGCGACTGTTACTTGTTGCCGCGTTACCCATTTCACTCATCACCTCACTGCACGCTTTTTAACCTAAGCAGAGGAGGAAAGCGGTTAAACTAACTAAAAAGCAACAGACCAAGTGGATGCAGAAGCACAGGAGGACCATTCAGAAAATGGGTATAGAGTCGGAAAAAGATTCACCCCAGTTCGCGGAGGAAATGATGGTGATGAATATGATAATGGTAATAATAATAAATTTTAGAAATTTGTCGAATTTCTAAAATGTAAGTAGTAGGGTCTGAAATATATAGATCTTACTAAATTTGTGTGATATAGAATAAATACAGTGTAAAATTTTTGTCTCAATACAATGTTAAATAAATACATAAATATATTTACACACGGAATACGTGGACATAAACGCGTTATGTAAATTCAGAGATCTCATATTTAGAATCCCACATCGGTCTTTGCACTGTAATGTCCAGTATTTGCTTCTACCTCGTTTATTTCTTACATTTTCACGACTGATTTTCATTGCCTGGAAAGTACGTCAGGCTCTGCCCCGTTTGACTTCCAAGCACCGGCGTTGTAGTGGCTGGTTTATAGGCACCGTGTTAATGGTAGTTGTGCGGGGTTGGATCAGGTTACGTGGGTCAACCGGGGGGGAGTGGCCGTGTTAATGGTAGTTGTGCGGGGTTGAATCAGGTTACGTGGGTCAGCCTGGGGAGGGGTGAGCTTCAGTTGTGTCATCCCTTAATACCACCCCTCCCGACCAATTGCCAGCGCATGTAGAATTTTCGTATTGGATGGTTTTAGTTAGTCGTGTGTCGCCCGCTGTGCAGTTGCGTTATTTCTTTTGTAATTTCTTGTTTGCTGATATGATTTGATGGTTCTTGGCAGTGTTTAGGCTGAATATTTGTTTTAAAAAGTGGTCTGATAACAAATGGCTGATAATTCAGAATGAAAGCCTATTAATATTTTGCAGAAGCCTGTGTAACTGTTTTGATTGTGTTTAGCATTATCTCAAACGCTTATGATGGCCAAAGTGGGGTTTGATACTAATATTAGAGCATTTATTTTGTATTTTAATAGTGTTCAATATTACCTGGTCATTTAAATTTTGCTCAAAAGGACAAATCGAGACAAAATATCCAATAGCCAGTGTTTTATGAAATGTGAAATGAAGCTAACTGCATCAGACGGCCCAAAATTTGTGTGTGATGTGAATTTTTGGTGACAAATATCTATCTCACATCGGACGATATCTTCTTTACCTGATGCATCTGACGGTGAGTGAAACATGATTGGTTTAACTAATGCTTCCGATTTTACAGAAGAAATGCATGAACAGCTTAACGCATTAACTTCCAAGAGAGTCGTTATGCTTGTCGGGTAATATGATTTCAGAATCTGTTGAATTCGTCAGTTGTGAAGGCTTGAGATCATACATGCCAACTTGTGGTTAAGTGACATACCAGGTTTGTGCGTGAACTCCGTACATAGACTTAGTAACACAGAATACTTTCCTTTGCAAGTTGATATGTTTACTCGTTTATGTTGAATTTAGCGCTTTCAAACTTTATCATTAAGAAGTTATCTTTTACCATATTTTGGAATTGGATTATTGAACAGGTAGGTGCTGCTTTAGACCGTAGACAAAAGCTCTTGGTTTTCGTTGTAAGTTAGGGGTTTGGATGGACCTGAGCCGCTGTAATTGAGACGTGGAAGAAAACACCTTTTGGGTCTACTGGCTGGAAATTGAATACTATCAATTCATCTACTTCTGGACACAGCCAGATATTTGTTGTCTGTATGTCTGTGTGTGGTTGTGTGTGTGTTTGTTTGTGTGTGTGAGAGAGGGAGAGGTTGAGAGAGAGACGTAATTTCTTCAGTCGCTGATTTTTCAGAATCCCATACCCGGATGTACAACAAGATTATTGGCCATTTTCAGTCACAGATGCATTAAGACGATCTTCGAGTATAAATTCTGTTTTCATACCCATCTGTTTGCGTCGTATTTGTAGAAGTAAGATGGAGTGTCTGGAATATACGCGTATAATCCTGGCGTGTCTGGAAAGAAAAATACGCGTTGCGGTGTGCATGATAATTTGTTCGTGCCCATAACGTCGTGATGGGAATAATAAATAGCTTTCCGGGACGGACTAGCCCCTCTAATCAGGTATATCCAATGAGCTTTCTCGTGTTTTTTGTCAATTCCGTACATTTACTTTACTATTTTGGCATGCGTGTAAGAACCATCAGGTACTCATTTTATACTAGCCGACGTATTCATAGAAGAACTTAGCTTTCTTAAACTCTGTGGCATCGTGTCCCACGTTCCCTCCTCTACATCGAAACGTGTTAATACGCACTTCGCACGCCGTTAATACGACGCATTTATTTAGCTGAACGATAAGCTTAGACTGTCGTGTAATACCACAATGTTATATAAGAAAATATAATTTTTATACAATATAATTTACATTATATATAATATAATAATGGGTCTGAGGCCACATTATATCAGAGTTGTTAAATTTTGTGGGTTCGGAGGGGTCGCTCATCGAGTCTCGACTTCGCTATAGAACTGTTTCGCGTGTCTTTGGAAAATAATGTCGGACGGAATATAGCAGTTCATTAGTCAGATATCTCTAATTGTGTTAGGAAGATCCGGGTTCTGATTTCTCTCCGAAGACCTGTTACCGTGACAATATTTCTGTGGGTTTCGTCAGCCACTACAAACAAATGCTACTCCCTTCCACATAATTTATAGTAATGAAACTTGTACAAATCGTCGTTCCATTTGATGATGTATAATTAAGCAATTAAAAGTGTCGTTTGTTAAATAAACACGATCCACCTGCCTTAAATTTCCGTTTATCAATGTTGTTGCAGTTTATTTCATGAAAAGAAACAGGTTTTATGGGATCACGTTCTATTTCAAATTACATTCTGATGTGGATGTTTTAAAGCAAGGAATCTTAATGCATGAATGAATGGACGTAGTGTAAAAATACACTTGTCCATTGATGTTATACAAAGTATGCAGAGAAAAGGAAATCCAAACGTTAAAAAAGAAACTTTCCTCTTCTTCTATATCCGGTTTAACAATGTTTTATACATTTTCCGGTTTCCTTTAACGGGTCCCAACTTTTCGTTGGCTCGATCTATGGACATTCGGTAGGTCTCCTTGGACGAGGGATCGGCCCGTCGCAAGGCCTCTACCTGTACACAGGACAACGCAACACAGAAAAACGCGGACAGACATCCATGGCTTGAGTGGGATTCGAACCCATGGTCCCAGCGACCAAGCGGCACAAGGCCCACGCCTCAGACCGCGCAGCCACTGCGGACCCCAGAACTTTCCTAACAACAAAAATATTGTCTGTAGTTTTACTAATAATTCAATTAAATTCTTCATTATTAGTGTTGTATCAACAGCCGGAAGGCTAATTACATAATATAAAAATACATTAGTACGGAGGACGCTAATACACAAAGAAAATTTCAACTAAATACATTAGTATATTTGTAATAATAATTTAAATAAATTAAGGAAATTATACTATTATAGAATGTGAAGAAGTGTGACAATTTTCGTCTCGAATATGTCCAAATCCCTGCAGACAACATTAGCAGCTGATGCGCATCTAGCAGAAGGACTGTTTTTGATCAAAGGGCTAAAACTGAACATAGAAAAATCTCTCAGATTCCGAGCAGGGATGCGGAGACCGACAGCTTCCAGAACGGAAGGACAGCATTTAAAATAATATAATTTTGCCTGTTGTTTTATATGGGTGTGAAATTTAATTATTAGTCTATAAGGCAAGTGTTCCGAGCCTTTTAAAGATCTGTGGCCGCATTTGCCCTTCCATATCGACTCGCGCGTTGTAAGTGATTACAGTTATTTGAACTTCATGTGCAATTTATTAAATATTATTCAACATCGCGGAACGTTTCACATATTACTGACTACTATCTTAACAAATTTTATTTCTTATTTTATTAATTACTATCGTAAAATCCAATATCATATTTGTGTTTTCTGCTCAAGGAGATCAAGGATGATGAAATAGGGCGCATGGCTTTCGAACCAATACTTCGGCGCATTTATCACATTCCCCATGCACTCTACATGCTCCACTCGTTTAATCCTCTTCGATTTTATCATTCTAATAACTCCATTGCATGCAGTTACACGCAACATAAAAAGCTGAGGGGTGTACTCAACAGAGTACAGATGTACTCATATGCGTTCTTACTTGGGTATCGAAAGGCATGGAACTGAAAATTATTTTCTGTCGTATTTTGTTACATATTCGTCACATCGAAACATATTTAAGGTCTATGAATTTTAATGATTCCATGAATCATTTTTTTACACGTTTGGAAGTTTTAGAGATAAGTTATATTTTATTTTAACATAAGAAACGCTTGTACGTATTTGACCGACAGGAATCGAAGTTAAAATGGCACAACTTTTAGTGTTCACTGGCTATACCAAGTCTCATCTAAATCTGCTCATTAGTTTGAGATGAAACATATGGGCAGTCATATGAACGGACATGATCTGTCTTAGTGAGTGTACCCATTTACTTCGTGTGTCTGCTTGCAAGAGACGCATAACGAAAACCTAGCAGGCACCAGCAGAGGTTTGCACGGGTCGAAATTTTAGAATTTTATCTGTCCAAGGGATCATTTGTCCCAAGCCCGAAGTTTATCTTCAAACGTTTTACTCATACCTAACCGAAGCTCGACTTCCTTTTGTTTTAGCCCTAATGAAACCTTATCTGTTATAGTCTATCCTGACTATTGTATAATTAATACATTTTTCCTTTAATGCATAAATACTAGTAATCCTTGAACGAATTATTTAACGACGCTGTAAGAACATCTGACGTTATTTCGACGTTTTATGAACGACACAAAGACATCGGATGCCAAATTTTAAAGATTTAGTCTCGAACCGTTTTCGGGAGGAGGCACCAACGAGTGCCCCCCCCCCCCAAAAAAAAAAAATTAAGTTCGGTGGGATTTGTTTTTGGAGTCTGACTGAGCGCAACTGCGATTAACTTTCTATAGCCCCAGAAAGCCGGAAATGTTCTGTACAACGTCTGATTACTGTCGTTTGAACTAGACCAGAACATTGTCTCTGTTACCAGGTCCGGGCGTCTGCAGACCTCTAGGTAATGCGACATATTGCTTCCTTTCTCCCAGGGCACCGAACGTTTCTTTAACATGACAATTGTATTCATACTCTAATATTGTAAAACTGAGTCGAAACAGGGCTAACGTGTCTAAATAAAATTGAGGAGTCTCGGGTTCGAATCTCGACCCTGACACTCCAACTACTCCACTCAAATGCTGTCATAGATAGTACGTCACGTTATGTCTTTTCAGCTTTATTTCATGTTTTTTTCTATTCGTCATTTAGAGGATCATTCTTTGATCGACGCTTAGGTATACCCTTGCCAGAAATTGTGTTCAATTCTTTTCAATCTTTTACATGAATATTATCTGGAGGTTGAGAAAATTAACCCCGCGACTTCCCTGGCACGTGCATGTTATCGTTTGTTTATGTGAATAAAATTTGTGACCAAAGCTTTTGTAAAAGATATGCTGGAAATGTTTTCTGTTCTTACATTTTGAATTCATATGCATTGTAATAGCAACATTAGTATGCATAACGAGAGGCTGGCACTTTCATTATTACATGTGGCAAGCATAAAAATATAGCTGTTTAATGTTAAGTGTAGTCAGAAGGGAAATTTGAGACGCGCTGAATTTTTAGGACAGGGAGTGTGCGCCATTCCTTTTGAATTGCGTCGGTTACGTGGTTTAACTTTTAAGCGTTTAATAATGAAACACTAGCAAGGAAACGTAATAAAAGTGTAACTAAAGGGAAGAACACGGAATATCCTGCCTTATAACAAGGAAAGTAGCAGAAAGTTAGAGACATTTGCATCGCCTAATGTCGATCTTTATAATTGTACTCTTCACCAGGTACTGTTAGTTTGTAATGATCAAATAAGGATCAAATAGAGGAGGATACGGACAGACTAGCTCGCACAAAGAGATCATAAACACACATAAAACTTTTGTCAGAAAACGTGAGAAGAGGCAACTTTGGAGACCCAGGCATACATGAAAAGATAACAGTAAGTTGGATCTTGAGGAAATAAATTTAAGGTAGCTTATGTTTCATTTGTTTTATGAGAGTAAAACTTAATCTCTTACTCAGAGGAATGGACACAAATAGAAAGTGCTTGGGAACAAAGTGCTGTGGAGA